CCCCCCCCCCGTTATTTTGGCAGTCCTAGCTGTTATTTTATTGTATTTTGCTTTCACTTGCAAAACTGGCTTAATTTCCATGGCTAGAATGAACGACGCTGTATCACCTAGTGGTAATAGTGAAGCTAAAGCCCGTTCCCTTGCTTTTTTTCTTCATTCTAGAAAAGAACACTAGATAATAACCATAACTTTTCCAATACTCGCACTGCTTTTTAGCCTAGCCAAACACATTAGCTAATTTAACCACTGTTTGAAAAGTGTTTATAATTCGTCTTAAACTTGTATGCGACTTAATGGACCGGAACATTTCAATTCAATTTTTGCTTTTAATTATTATTTTCTTTTTAGTTACAACCTTTTCCATAACTCCATGAAACATGCAAACTAATAAGTAACTTATCATTTGATACTAAACCCACGTTTACTTCAACTACTGGCAGATTCGTCGCCACATTTCTTGTTGCCATTGAAGCAGCTGGCAAGTACTCCATTCTCCTCTGTATAGAGCCTCTCTCATTTATCATTAAATACAAGGAGGAGCGTTATCAAAAAGTAAAAAAAAAAATTGCCAACTTGTTTGTCATCAGCACAAAATGAGATTCGATGCAACGGATATTTGAAGAGAATCATCTTTGTCTTTGAGTCAATAATTGTTAGACCATCCACGCTAATTTGTAAATCCACTTTTTTCAGTTTCGATCCTGAATGTCCAGTAATGCCTCGGTTCACCTGCAACCGTGAAAAACACTTCAAATGCGCAAAATTCATAAAACCTCAAAAGCCGTTGTAAAAATGGCATGCGATTCTGGTCACAGTACAAATGGCATGGTTTTTAGATGCCATACATTGTCGCATTGAATGAAACAAACGTCAGGATCTCCAGCAGGCTGAGTGACCATCATCAGGCAATGCAACACTGGTCAAAGTAACTGGAAAAGTTGTCAGCTTACATAGCTTGGAAAGCAGACTATAAATAATTGCCCAAACAAAAGTATTTAGCATCGAGTGAATATGATGAGGTAAGAAACTGTATTTGAGGCTACACACTGCGAAGATGACCTTCTATGGTTTTCTTTTTCAGGAGATGCAAAAGAAGCAAGCTGAAGGGTTCTGATCCATAGCATGCTAGGCGCACTATTGGTCATCACAACGATCGCGTAAATCGTACTGAGACTGATTTCTCCAGTTTCAGATTTCCGGATTCGAGTCAGTACTTTTACCCTGGCAGCAGACGCCAATTATTATTACTTCATCAAGCCCTCAACTCTTTTATGAAAAACCAAAACAGAAAAAGGGGAAAAACTTAGGAAAAGGATAAAAATAAACAAAAGTGGTACCTGCAGCAAAAAATGATCAGTAGTGGCACCTGCAACTGAAAATGAATAAACAATAATAGTATTTTGTGGCTGAAACTGTACAGCAATATGGTACCTGAAGCTGAAAACGTATGGCGTGGATAGCGTCTCGGATGACATGCGTTCCTTTTGGCTCTGTTACCTCAGTGAATCCGAGCATTTTCACCGAATACTCCACACGACCATTCAGCAAAATATCTGTAATACATCAACCTCTAATAGCTGTCATGTCCCACCAAACAGCCTCTTTGTAAGCAGCTCTAAAAAGAGTCAGTTTTTTAGTTAGTTTCTTGGGACTGGCTAGTTTTTTGGCTGGTTTTTTAGGTCTGATTGATTTTCTAGCCAGTTTTTTAGTG